TTCCTCAGCAAAAAAAAGAAAGAAAGAAAAAAACATGATCCTACTATAGCCTATCTATAAGAGACTCTCTTTAAATTCAAAGGCACAACAGGTTGAAAGTGAAAGAATGGAAAAAGGTATTTTGTGCAAATAGAAACAAAAAGAGGTGGATCAGCTATACTAATATCAGACAAAACAGATTATAAGTCAAAAATTGTTATAAGGGGCAAAGGAAGACAATAAATACTGATAAAAGGGTCACTCCATCAGGAAGATATAGCAATTATAAACATATACATTCCTAACAATAAAGACACAAAATACAGGAAGCACAAACTGACATAATTGAAGGGAGAAACAGACAGTTATACAATAATAGTTGAAGACTTCTATACCTTACTTTCATTAATGGACAAAATAACCAAATAGACAATCAGTAAGAAAAGACAGAATGTCAATACCACCATCAGTCAACTAGGCTTAATAGATATATGTGGAATACTCCCTCCAAAACAGCAGAATACATACTCTCCCGAAGTGTACATGGAACATTCTCCAGGACAGACTATATGTTAGGCCACAGACCAAGTCTCAATAAATTTTAAAAGAGTGAAATCATAGAAAATATCTTCTCTGATAACGATGCAATGAAGCTAGAAATCAAGAAAAAGGAAAACTGGAAAATCCAGAAATTTGTGGAAATTAAACAACATACTCTTAAACAAGCAATAAATCAGAGAACAATTGACAAGGGAAATTAGAAAATACTTTGAGATAAATGAAAATGAAAATACAACACACCAAAATTTAGGGAATGCAGAAAAAGCAGAGCTCAGAGGGCAGTCTTATAGCTATTAACACCTACATTAAAAAAGAAGATATCAAATCAATAACCTAACATTCGGCCTTAAGAAACTAGAAAGAGAAGAGCAAACTAATTCCAAAGCAAGATGTCAGGAAATAAGAAAGATTAAAGTAGAGATTAACAAAATAGAGAAGAGGAAAACAATAGAGAAAATCAACAAAACCAAAAGTTGGTTCTTTGAAAGATCAACAATATTGACAAACCTTTACCTAGACTAAGAAAAAGAAGAGAGAAGATGCAAATAACTAAAATCAGAAATGAAAGTGAGGACATCACCATGGAGTTTATACAAACAAAAAGGATTAATAAGAGAATACTATGAAAAATTATATGCCAACAAATTAGATAACCTAGATGAAACAGACAAGTTCCTAGAAACAAACTATATTACCAAAACTGACTCAAGAAACAGAAAACCTGAACATATCTACAATAATAGAATGAATCATAATCAAAATCTTCCAAAAAAAGAAAAGCTCATGGCTTCAGTGGCAAATTCTACCAATCATTTAAATAAGATTAACTCCAACCCTTCTCAAACTCTTCCTAAAAACAGGAGAGGACTACTTCCTAACTCATTCTGAGGCCAGCATTACCTTGATGCCAAATCCAGACAAAGACATCACAAGAAAATAAACTACAGATCGATATCACTTATAAACAGAGATGCAAAAATTCTCAACAAAGTACTAGCAAAGCAATTCCAATAGTATATTAAAAGGATTATACAATATGACCAAGTAGGACTTATCCCAGAAATGCAAAGATGCTTCAACATACAAAAATCAATCAGTGTAATATACCACATTAACTGAATCAAGGAAAAACAAACATGATCATCTCAATTGATGCAGAAATGTGTTTAACAAAATCCAACACCTTTTCATGATAAAAACAATTAACTAGGAATAGAAGGTATGTGGTGAAAAATTAATCTTATGTAAAGAGAAGTGTGGCTTTTGCCCTCAGCTACAGGTGACCTCTAGGCCCCTGGAACGTCCTGACTGACAGCAGTGTCTTTGTTTGCTGGGGGTTTTGGCCACAGTCCAGCCTAACAATGTGATTTATGACTGGGGCTTAGAGACACATGTCAGTTTCAACTTCTGGAGAAACTAGAGACTAAAGGTACTAGTGTGAACCTTAAGAGCTGGAGACTAAAGGTTAGCCAGGCAAGCAGTACGTGATTGAGCAGAAAGAAAAACTGTGGACACCAAAGGCCTGGGTGAGCTGTCTTGGTTGGTAATACTCTGTGCATTTTCATACTTTGTGGCTGAGAGAGGACGACTGATTGAAATCGCCATGTTGGGTCTCTCTGAGATTTTGCCCTACGTATCTCTTCCTTTGGTTGGTTCTAATTTGTATCCTTTTGCTGTAATAAAACTATAATTTTAAGCATAGTGCTTTTCGAAGTTCTGTGAGTCATTCAAGTGAATTATTGATCCTGAGGGTGGCTGTGGGGAACCCAAATTTGTAGCCAGCTGGTCTGAAGTGAGGGTAGTCTTGGGCACCGTGCGGTTGGTATCTGAAGTGAGGGCAGTCTTGCCGGGTCTGTGCCCCCTGCCTGTACAAAGTGACTCACTCCAACGCAGAAGGGACTTCCTCAAGCAGACAAAGAACATTCATGAAAAACCTCACAGGAAGGATCATACTCAATGGTGAAAGACTGAAAACCTCTTCTGTCCACCTATGCCACTTCTATTCAACATTCTACTGCAAGTTATAGCCAGAGCAACTGGGCCAAAAAAAAACAAAAAAAGAAATAAAAGACACCCAAGGGAAAGGAAGAAATAAAACTATCGTGCAGATGGTATGATCTTATATACAGAAAATGGCAAAAAAACCCAAAACAAAACAAAAACCTATTAGAATAAACTGAGAGAAGTTGGAAGATATAAGATTAACACACAAAAATCAGTTGTGTTTCTATATCCTAGCAGTGAACAATCTGAAAGGGATACTAAGAAAACAATTCCATTTATAATAGTTTCCAAAAAAATAAAATACCTAGGGAAAAATTTTATCTAAGGAAGTGAAAGATTTGCACACTGAAAACTATGAAACATCACTGAAAGAAATTCAAGAAGATCTATATTCTAGACTGCCGTGAGTCCCTCCCACCCAAATCCATATGTGGAAGCCCTGACCCTCAATGTGACTGTTTGGAGACAGGGCCCTGATGGAGGTAATTAAGGTTAAATGAGCTCCTAAGGTGAGGTCCTAATGCAAAAGAACTAGCGTTCTTGGAAGACAAAGAGACACCAGACCTCTCTCTCTCTCTCTCTCCCCGCTCATGCACAGAGGAAAGGACACATGAGGACACAGAGAGAAGGTGGCTTCCCGCAGACAGGAAGAGAGGTCTCACCCAAAAAGGAACTTGCTGTCACCTTGATGCTGGACTTCTAGACTCCAAAACTCTGAAAAAATAAATTTCTGTTGCGTTAAGTCACCCAAGTCTATTTATTATAGTGGCCAAGCAGACTAACACAACCTAAGGAAGTAGAAAGACATCCTGTGCTCATGCATAGGAATACTACATATGGTTACGATGGCAAAACTACCCAAGCAATCCACAGATTCAATGAAATCCTTATTAAAATCCCAATGGCCTTTTCCATAGAAATGGAAAAGCTGATACTCAAATTCATACAGAATCACAAGGGACCCTAAAGAGTCAAAACGATATTGAAAAAAGAAGAATCAAGTTGGAAGACTCAGACTTCCCTACTTCAAAACTTACCAAAAGCTAGAGTGATCAAAATAACGTGGTACCGGTATAAGGACAGACCAATGGAATAGAACTAATAAGAGTCCAGAAATAAAACCATATATCTATGGCCAACTGATTTTCAATAAGGGTGCCTTGACATTCAATTGGGAAATAAGAGTCTCTCTAATAAATGGTTCTGGGACAAGTGAATTTCCACAAGCAAAACAATGAAGTTGGAACTTTATCTCACACTATATACAAAAATTAACTCAAAATGGGTCAAATACCTAAATGTAAGAGCTAAAACTATAAAACTCTGAGAAGAAAACATAAGGGTAAATCTTAATGCCCTTGGATTTAACAGTAGATTCTTACACATGACAACAAATGCACAAGCAACCAAAGAAAAAATAAACTGAATTTCATGATAATTAAAAACTTTTGTGCACCCAAGGATATCAAGAAAGACAACATACAAAATGGGAGAAAATATTTACAAATTATCTATCTGATAAGGGTCTAGTATCCAGAATATATAAAGAACTCCTACAACTCAACAAGAAAAAGAAAAAAAAACCTAATTAAAGAATGGGCAAAGGGCTTGAATAGACATTTCTCCCAAGAAGATATATAAATGGCCAATAAGCACATGAAAAGATGCTCAATATCATTAGTCATTAGGGAAATGAGAATCAAAACCACATGGAGATATCTCTTCATACTCACTAGGATGACTAGAATGAGAAAGTCACTAACTATTGGCAAAGATTCAGAGAAACTGGCATCTTCGTACACTGCTGCTGGGAATGTAAAATGGTGTAGCCACTGTGGAAAACAGTTTGGTGGTTCCTCAAAAAGTTAAATACAGAATTACCACATGACCCAGCAATTCCACTCCTAGGTTGACCCCCAAAAGAACTGAAAATAGGAACTCAAACAAACACTTGAATATGAATGTTAATAGCAGCAGTATCCAAAAAGCTAAAAGGTGGAAATAACCCAAATGTCTATTGACGAATGGATAAACAAAATGTGGTAAATATATATAACAGAATATTATTCAGTCACAAAAAAGAAATGAATTATTGATACATGCTACAACATGAAGGAACTTGAAAACACTATGCTAAGTTAAAGCAGCCAGACACAAAAGATTACATACTATTTGATTTCATTTATATGAAATATCCAGAAGAGAGAAACCCACAGACACAGAAAGCAGACTGGTATGATGCCAGAGGCTCGGAAGGGAGGTGAATGGGGAGTGACTGCTTAATGGGTATGAGGTTTCTTTCAGGGCAATGAAAATATTTTGAAATTTGATATCAGTGGTGGTTGTACAATGTTGTGAATGCACTAAATGTCATTGAATTATACGCTTTAAGATGGTTAATTTTATGTTACATGAATTATTAAAAAAAGAATATGATCATAGTTCTTTTTACTAACCCGATGAATAATTCCAGCAGAGTGAAGGTGCTTGATTCCACACAGCATCTGATAGAGAAGGTAGGACATTCTTTCATGATCTAGTTCCATCTGAATCACTTGGCAAAGATTTGCATCCATGAGCTCCATGACTATGTAACTTCATGGGTGAAAAAAGATGACAGCTAAAGTGTACAGCAACAATCTCAGAATAATGTAGAATAACATTTTAATTGTCACACTTACACATCCTGAAATTCTTCTAGGGACTTCTGTGGTGTGAAAACATTCAAAAGGCCAATTATCTATGGCAAAAGCAGAGAGAGAGAAAAATTAAAAACTGCTCAATAATACTTTCATTTGGGAACTGCAAATACATGGGTTTACAAAGAATCCACAATGAGTGTAAAATTTTTCAAATTTTATGTTCTAAGCTCAAGTAGTCACTTTTATTTCATATATTAAAACTTTACAGCCAAGGGTTGGGGGGAGGGAGGAAAGCAGAGCACAGAGGATCTTCAGGGCAGTGAAAATAGCCTGTATACTATAATGATAGCTATATGTAATTATATACCTGTCCAAACCCATAGAATGTACACCACCAAGAAGGAACCCTGATGTAAACTACGGACTTTGGGTGGCAAGAATGTGTCAATATAGGTCCACTGATTGTCACAAACGTACCACTCTGGTGGAGGATGTTGATAACGGAGGAGGCTATGCATGTATAGGGGCAGAGGGCATATGAACCATCTCTGTAACTTCCTCTCAATTTTGCTGTGACCCTAAAACTCCTCTAAAAAAATAAAACCTTAAAACAAACAACACTATCAACAGAAGAGCTCTACACAATCCATTCCATTTATGAATACTCAATTATCAAGGACCTATATCAAACAATCCTCTACATAACTTGTAAGCAAATCTTACATAGCTTCTGCCGGTTCTTATCCAACTCAACAGGCCTGTATAATCTCAGCTCTTCCCCCCCGGTTTGTCACAACACTGCCCTTTCCCAGTTTTCCTCATTTCCAGCATATCACTGGCTCGTCCCCAGGCATGCCCTCTTTCCACCACTCTGTCTTTAATCCTCTGCTTTTCTCCATCTGCACCCTTTCCATGGATGATATTATGTACGTCTTTTTCTTCAAATATCTCTATGTGGGTAATTTCCAAATATGCATTAAAAGTCCTTGCTTAGCCTATGAGTCTCAGACATACACTGTCACTTCACATGGAAGTCTCACAAATATAAAACGGAACTCATTATCATTGCCACTCAAACCCCTTACTTTTCTAGAGTGCCTTCTCTTTTACAATAGCAGGCTCAGAGTGATTTCTGACTCCTTTTTCAGCATTTGCAGCATAACAGCCATTTAAAAGAATGCTATCCCATTCTATCGTCAGTCTGAACTTCAACCTCTTCTTTCCTTTCCCTGTGCTACTATATGTGTTGAGGATTCGAACATCTCATCTGGACTGTTCGTGCTATAATTACTTCTAACATTAGGTTCCCTAACAATGGTTTTCTGCAAATCTAGCTACCATTTTACTGCCTATAATATGGTACAACAAAGACTTGATCGTATTACTCACTTCCTCAAAAACTTAATGCCAACGAAAAGATTCCCAAACTTCTTTGCAGAACATCAACCCACTTCAGCTCCTGCTAAGCCCTCTATTAAACTTGATACTTCAGCCATACTAAATCAGTTTAAAGAATGTTTTTAAAGACTCTCAATGCCTTTAAACATACTATTCCCTATGCTTGTCATTTACCTAATGAATTCAGTTACCTTCAAAATAGACCTCTTTTGTAGAGGCTGACAACCCCTAGTCCTTGACAGAGCTGAATGTTCTCTCTACTTTGTCCCCACTGTATCTTACATGTGATTATGGCATTTAACACACTGTAGTATAGTCTCATTTTCATAACAGCCTTGTCCCAACCACACCAGAATCCTTATTAGAAAGAAGTGTGATGTCTTACTTCCTTTTACAGCACTGGCATATAGGAAGATACTGACATACATTTTTAAAATGTTTGTTAACAATTATACTTATGGATGGGAATGTTTTTTAGACTTAAAATTCATGAGGCAGAATGTATGTTATTAATTTAAGCATAAAACTTTGCTTATCGGAGACATTCAAATATTTATTCAGTGAATAAATTCAGAAAAATAATTTACAGACCTGAAAGAGTAAAACAAGTTTGTTTAAGATAGAGGAAGTGATAATAAAACAATCACCCAGCTGCTCTAAATGGATTCATATCTCCTAACCAGACGAACTGTACACTTAGAGATTTGGAGAAACAGTAAAACTGTTCTCTCTACTATCTGGGGAATCCTAGTGTAGAAGAGTGGTATTAAAGATGAAAGACAGACAGAGACAGAAAGGAGATTAGTGGTTGCTTAGAGTTGAGAATAATGGAAGATGATGGAATGAGAGCTAAAGGATATAGTTTCTTTCTGAAGTTATGAAAATATTCTAGAACTGACTGTGATGACAGTCACACATATCAGCGAATACACTAACAACCATTGAATTGTACACATTAAATGGGTGAATTGTATGGTACATGACTTGTATCTCAATAAAGCTGTTATAAAAAGAGACTAAAACAGACATCCGTCTTATTTCCCAAAAAGGGAAATAAAGGAAATTATATCATTCATAGACTGGACAACCAAAAAAAATGTCAAGGACTGAATAAGAGGGTGGTGTATGACTACTCTGAAAGAAGAAACAATTACTAGGAACAGGTGAAAATTCATTGGGAACTTTACTTCCTTTGGTGAAGAAAATTATAACAATGAACAGCAGCAGCAGATCAGAGAAATGCAACCAGATATAATAGTATATGAAGATTTCAAAAAGTAGTAATATCCACATGAAGAAGAACTGGGGAGAGCTGGATAATTTTTCTAGTTAGACATGTAATTTCTGCAGTATACTCAAAGGTTGCTAACGAACTAATCCCGGTATTATGAAGGTATCCTGAGGAAAACGAGAAGAGAAGCCCACAAGGGAAAAATCAGAACAAAGAAGAAAAAAGCAATCCCCAACAGCTCAGGAAGGGGAACAAAATTTCAAATGTGAAATTTAACAGGGAGAAATACAAAGTACTGTACTTATTCTCCAAAACGTAAAGAAAAAGAAAAACTAAAGGATGGGAAACACGTGACCTGTGAGTAGGCCTGTGACAAGGAAAAACTTGCTTAGACAATGTGAGTCAAATGGTGACCTGATTTCCAAATAGGATTATAATGTCCACAGTTAAGAAGACATGACATGTCTCAGTTCCTCTCACAGGATTCAGTGAGACACGCAGCACTGTGTGCTAGGTGACAGATCTAAGTGCATTCAGAGATAAGGGACCGAGGTGAAAAAGAAACTCAAAACTATCTAGGAAAAGAGTGGGAACCACAAAACAATATAAACGTACTTTAGTACCACTGAACCGTGCACTTAAAAATAGTTAAGATACTAAGTTTTATGTTACGTATGTTTTACTACAATAAAAAAAAAAGACAGTGAGAAAAAACAAAGATATTTAAGACCAATGAACAGATGATCTGTGCAGAACACAAAACCTGAAAAGGTGAGAAATTACAAAAACATCCATCCGTCAGGGAGCGGAAAATTTCCATTACCAATCCTGGTTTCCCTATACGTTACATTCATTCACTGAACAAATACGTTTTGAGCACCTACTCTGTGCCAGCACTCTTCTACATGCCAAGCATAGTCCTTCGATGGATCTGTGCCCACCCTGACTAGAGGATTAAAAGCACGTTAAACAAGCTTTCCACGCCCTCCAATTAGTCAATGAAACCATCTATCCTTGCAGTTACCCAGGCTCAGGAGGTAGGAGTCACTGGCCATCTTCTCAATGCAAAATTCCCACCATCGTCATGAAACAGGCTACAAAGGGCATGAGCAGCTTTACGTGGGGGCAGGAGGCCACCAGCAAAACCAGCATAAGCAACATGCCTGGCTCCTATCTAGAACAAGAACGGCTGAGCCGACTTCTTCCCCTCACTGACTGACTTTAATCCTTATCTCCATGCCTTTTATTACGCTATCCTCAACAGAAAGTGACCAGTGAATATTGGCATCACTCAAAGAGGAGGGAGTGGGGTAGGAGGAAATGATTTGAATCTTACATCCAATATTATCAAATAAAGTTCCAGTGTCAAAGTATAATGGGAACAATTTCATCTCTGTGAGCCTGACAGAAAACAAAAAGTAGAAGATGAGATCAAGCCTAAATAAAGTTCTTAAGTCTTTAAAACTTCTTTAGCAAATTAAGTGTCAGAAAATTACACAATCTAAATTTCAGAAGCCATTTTTCTTTTAATATAATTTAATAAAGCTGAAAAAAAACTCACACTGTAGGTATACATCCCATTTTAACAATATTTTAATCCAGAAGAACAATCTAAGTATTTTAATTGTATAAAACAATTTTAATATTTTAAAAGGTTTTGATATTCATATATCATGAACAAATCTTGATTTCATCTATACTTAAGAAATTTTCTGAAATGTTGACTTACATTTTTGTGATTAACACATTTCATAAGAACTAGCTCTCTGTAAGCCCGCTTAGCATGAGTCTGATTCTGAAATGGCCGGCTTAGCTTCTTGATTGCAACATTTCTTTCAAGAATGGCATCATAAGCTGCACTGCAATAAGAAATTCAAAAACAACAAAAAAAACCTTAAAAACCTGCAAAACTAAATTTATGAACATTCATGCAGATGCCTCAGTTTCTCCAAAGATAAATGCAATTGGATCACCTTCAGTCTTTGATGTTCAACATGTTTCTTCCATACCCATTACAGCATATTCCAACAATGTTAACTGTTTCTTAAAATGCTAATGGATCCAAGCGACTACGGACTGTGAGGACACAGACTCTGCTTGTTCACTGGGTGCCTCCAAGATTCACCTAGCACTCAACGGGCACTCAATGCAGACGTTTAATGAGTATCCGGAGCCAACAGATAGCTTAAAGCTTAAAGGAGTCCTTCACCCTGCACCTATACCAATGAAGACAAGATAAAGAATACAGGTGGTCGTACATTCTACTCAAAATATTTGCTGAAGAATTCTACGTAAGTACGTCACTTCCACCCTCTTTGGATACGACAAAATCAATACAGAAAGAGGAAGGTACATACAGAGGTATCAACATGAAAGATTACTTTATAATATGAAAAGTAAGCACTTAAAAATTTGTTGTGGAGGAGGAATTAAAAATCGAGGTGTTTATAAACATGAATGCTAGATTTCAGGACATCAAAAGCTGCTTCATAACTGTGAATGAAACACCTATAATTCCGGGAAATAGGTCATTATACTCATCACTCTTCATATCTTCCTCTACTGTACGATGTTGACCAAATGGCACCTTTTGCAAATGACAGGTCAGAGAAAGTAAAGCACGAATAAGGTAAAATGTCTTAAAATTATAGAGTATTATGACTGAAAGAGATTTTAAAAATCACTTGGACTCACCACTGACTGATACAGAGCCAGAGGTTGGGTAATCTGCCCAAGGTGAACCAGACAAAGCACAGCTGAGACTAGAAGACTAAGACATGAGGCCATGCTTTTCATACTGGACCACCTAACATACTATAAAAGATTATTTCTGTTCATGTAATATTTGGACAGTTAGCATATTGATTAAAATGATTCTCTCACCAAACTAGACGCTTAAGTTTGTTTTGTAGCTATCTCACTATATCAAATGTAGCGAAGAAATATATGTACTAAGAAACTGGTACTGAATCGGCACAAATGGACACATCTACATATTCTATATATACTACTAACTACTCCCTATATACACACATATACATACTGAAATATATATATATTTATATACTATAACCTTTACTTAGAAAATGCCATATTTACAGATATATCCTTCCCAAATTAAAAAAAAAAAAAACCAAAGCCCAAAAACATTAGGAGTCATGCAAAATGATTAGAAGTTTTGACTGTTTCAGATGAGTTATGTTTATTTTATTTTATTTTTGTTTTGTTTTGCTTGTTTTTTTGGTGAGGAAGACTGGCCCTGAGGTAAAAGCTGTGCCAATCTTTCTCTATTTCATACGTGGGTTGCTGCCACAGCATGGCTGACAAGTGGTGTAGGTCTGTGCCCAGGATCCGAACCGGCAAATCCCAGGCCGCCGAAGCAGGACACACAAATTTAACCACCACACCACCAAGCCAGCCCCAATTACGTTTAATTTTTAACCATTAAATTCATTCCTTTTAAATTTTTATATGCTAAATCAAAGTAATATTTCAACTAAAAGTTCAAAAGTATCTGAGTAGGTTACAGTAGTTTGTATCCAAGTTATTTAGACTTCTAATTATTGATTCTTAAATGTACATATATTAGAAATACGTGTTTTGTTTTTGGATTCAGAGACCACAATCCAGACCCAATGAAGCTAACATCCATGCCAATCTTCCTCTCTTTTTCAGCATGTGGGCCGCCAGCACAGCATGACAGCTAAAAGAGTGGTGGAGGTCCATGCCCAGGAACTGAACCTGGGCTGCTGAAGCAGAGCACGCTGAACTTAACCACTAGGCCACCAGGGCTGGCCCCCAGACCCAGTGAATCTTATTAACTATGATTGGGGCCCAAAATAATGCCTTTCTTAAAAAAATTAAGTTCTTCAGTTGATACGGATAGTAACACAATGCTGAGTTTAAAAATTTTTTTGTTTAATATTTGTCTATTTCATAGTAGTCATTTCATAGTAGTCGATTATGAAAGAAAAGCCAAAAATTTGAAGATATTTATTCCTTAATCCTGGGGCTGGTTAAGATGGCTTAAGGTCCCTTGCAAAGTAGTTTTTTTTTAAATTCTGTTATACACACTTCAAAATGCACTTACCTGAGAATAAGTGAAGGTACAGGAACATTAACATATTTTTAAACACTATTAAGTATTTTATAAACAACATATCCCTCAAAACCACCAGGTAAATTAAGTGAAAAAACAGGCTTAGAAGTGTTAATTTGCCATGAGTCACAAAGTTAGTCAATCAAAGAGCTGGACTCTGAACCAAACGCTGGCTTTCGGAATCTTTTCCATATTGACTTTGCCACATTATTTTCTCTAAATTTAATCTGTCGTTGGTTAAAATGACAACCAGCCAGCCAATAATGCTTATAAAACAATGCAACTTCTGTAATTTTTAATATTGTAAATCACTTCAAGAATACAGAAGCAAACAAATGCTATTGTTCCCATTAGATAAATCTGTTAGATTTTTAATATTTTACCATAATTGCTCTGAGTTTTTTTTAAAAGAAATTTATTGTCAGAGGTAAAGCCCCCTTCCTTCTCTATATTCTCAAAGGTAAGCACTATCTTGAGTTTGGTGTTTATGAATGTTTTTATACTTTTCTACATACGTATGAATCTATAAATATAGAGTATTGTTTTCATATTTTAAACTATATATAAATGGTAATGTTTGTATATTCTGCATCTTGCTTTTAAAACTCAACACTACATTTCTGAGATTATCCTTGTTGATACATTTGGCTCCACTTCATTTTAAATGTTGTATATTGTATTTTATCATATGAATATATGACAATTTTTTATTCTCCTACTGATAGATTTGATGCTGTTACCAATTTTGCTATTACAGATAGTGCTGCAAAGAATAGCCCTATGTATAGTCTCTTTGCATACATGTGCAATATTTTTTTCTAGAACCTGGGAGAATTGTAGAATGGTAAACACTTACAATCTTCTAATAGATTCCGAAACAAATCTGGTTCAAGAAGAGGTAACAAAGATATAATCATGCTTGAATGAGGCTTAGAATTTCCTAAAACACTAGCTTATTATGCTAACTTAGTAATCTAAAATCATTAGTATAACTGTCCCAAAGAATGTTTTGCATTTCGGTGTATGAGGAATTATGCTGATCTATAAAAGCCTAGGTCTTTTGTAGAAATTAGCTTGTAAATCAATTTTAAAGATATAGTTGAGTTTTGAAACATACATAGTGAAATGATATTAGCTGACTTCAATCCCCAGTGTAAAATGAGATTTCTGAACTTCCCGAGTTTCATCATAGTATGAAAGTGATGACTAAGTGGAGCTTCTTATTAAACAATTAGCTATGGGAATAGATATATACGAGGAATTAACAAGCAAGCCACTTATTCTTTCCTGATATAGGTATTTATCTTATATGGCTTAAGACCAAGTATTTAATCATAATTTATACTTAAAGATGGCAGGGCTGATTTATAGTTATGTTTTATAAATAATAATAAAGACCATTAATCCTAGAACAAAACAATTTACTGTTATAGCTTTAAATTTTATAGTTTTATTTTAATGTTTTGAGGCAAGTTAACTATTTACCAAGGTATCTATACCATGAAAGGAGAAAAGACAGCGGTTAGTGATTCTATGCTTAATATTTGGAAGTAAACACTTACCATACTATTCCTTGAGCTCCTGAGCCTATAGGCTTTAAATTCTGATATCGTTTCAGGACTGTGAATGTAGAATCTCCAATCTCTACACTATAAAAATTGCTGTCACGTTTGCTTCTGCTCATGATGGCAAGCAATTAATTTAATGGCTTCATCCAAAAATTCACCACGAAGCTGCAAAATGGAAAATGTGATGTTAACAAAATGAATTGGTTCAATCTTAAAATTTGCATCCTCACTCTGTTCACTGATAGTAACACAAATTGCTAGATCATGTTAAAAGAGCTGCTTCATTAAAAACACAATTAGAAAGAAAAATACCACAGAGCCTGGGTAGCATCTTCCATACTTAAGGAAACGACCGACAGTTTAAAAACAAAATTTTTACTAGGGTAAACAGTTTCTCCAAAGTAAGAACAGAACTGATATTAACACATACATGTCTAAACTTACTGGAAGACAGTGAAGAAAAAAAAAAGCAAATAATGATAACTAAACATGTTTTCAAGGTCACTTCCATAGTTTAAAATTAAAACCAGTCCTTTTTATATGTTTATTATAGAGTATAGAAACCTTAATTCTTGTAAGAAACTGATAAACTTTCACTCAAAAATAATTCACAATCTCAGATAGTGTCACACGGAAGGAACAAAAAACTGACAGGCCAGTAAGCTGCTTAGCACACACCACCCCTACCTAACAAACAGAGCGCAGCACAGGACTGTCACTCAGACCCCCAGCAGCAACTTGATCTGGGTGGAATGCTTATGTTGAGGTTGTAAAGGTTGAAAGAATGAGAAGCAGGGTAGAAAATATAAGATAAAATAAGAAGATATAAGATAAAGTTATTTAAAAAAAATAAGGAAATATAAGAGAGAGGCATTTAGTATTTCAGGATAGGAAACAAAACAATATTGTTGTGAAGTGTTTGGGGCCTCAACGCCTGACCTAAGTTCTGACCACAGCTCTTTACCACCCATCTGATTGAAAGCCAAGGCAGTCTTCTTCTGCTCATCTGAGAATTGGTTATTAACAAATCTATTATCCATCCTTACTAGATGAAAGTGGCCTATTTGAAATGCATGCAAGACAGCTCCAATCTGCTCCCCACATTCTGCAATTAACCGAGAAATCAGTTAGGTTTAAAGAATTACTGATTTTCGTGTGTCTGGCTGTAACACAGCACTAACAAAAACAAAAACAAAAACAAGGGGTTGGCCCTGTGGCTGAGTGGTTAAGTCTGCATGCTCTGCTTCGGCAGCCCAGGGTCCACCAGTTCAGATCCTGGGTGTAGACCTATACACCGCTCATCAGGTCATGCTGTGGCGGCATCCCACATAGAAGAACCAGAATGACCTACAACTAGGATATACAACTATGCCCTGGGGCTTTGGGGAGGAAAAAAAAAAAGGAAGATTGGCAACAGATGTTAGCTCAGGGCCAATCTTCCTCATCAAAAAACAAAACAAAACAAAACAAAACCCAGCACAGGCACACACAAAGAAATGTTAAGTTTTTAAAAAAATAAAAAACAAAATCTTGATAAGACTGAAAACACAAAGAATTAATTCAACAAATATTAAGTGCCTACCATGTGCCAGGTACTGTGCTGTGCCCCGGGGCCAGATCATACAGAGGCTCACGAACTGGATTCTGAGAGCTGAATTCTTAGAGGAGGATGGAAGCCAGTGGACAATGGAGAGCAAGAGAGTGCCTTGACCAGGTCCCTGGTTGCTACTTAGAGATTATACTGCAAGAGGAGGGGAGCAAGAGTTAGAACAGAAAAAGTAGTGAGCTATTCTAGTAATTCAGATGACAGCGACAAAATTAAAATTAATGAGAATTCTTAGGTGTGATGGAGTTAAAAACTAGACAAAAACTCCAAATAGTATAGGCTTTAAAAGAGAAGACAAATAAACTGGAAGCAACTGAAGAGTTACAGAAATGATTTGGATAAATTGAAGAAAGGCCCAGGGAAACATTTCCAAAATAGTAACTAAACTAGTCACGTAATACTCCAAAGAGGACTGTCTGAATGACAAGTCTCATTGATTTTGCCTAAGTGGACAGACCACAGTAAGTTAACGAAAAGAGTGGGGCCGGGTGGGTGGTGTAATGGTTAAGTCTGTATGCTCCGCTTTGGCGGCCTGGGGTTCACGGCTTTGGATCCCAGGTGTGGACCTATGCATCACTCATCAAATCATGCTGTGGCGGCGTCCCATATACAAAACAGAGGAAGACTGGCAGAGATGTTAGCTCAGGGACAATCTTCCTCACAAAAAAAAAGAAAGAAAGAAAGAAAAGAGTTTGGTAATGATTTAAACACTCAGCTACACTCAAAGGATGATCAAATACACATCCAGACCAATGTCCTACCTTAACTTGAACTTCCTCTTGCCTACCAGACTACGGAAATAGGGAAGAGGAGAAGTGGGAAAAGGAAGAAAGGGAAGTGTTAGGTGTCAGGTCCTCATCAAATATTCTACACATTTATCCTAGAAACTGAGTCTGCACAGGGCCTGCAGACAATAATGGTCTCTGGTAACCTGCACATGTCCTCAGAGGCTGAGCACAGAGGCGACAGTGTTTGCACCTCAGGTAGTCAAACTGCGTCTGCAGATGCAACTTCCTAAGCTTACTGAGAGGGCTGATATTCCACTCCTTAGGAAGACGCAGGATCAGGAGAGAAAGGGGTACTCTGTGATGCTTCACAGGAGTTTACTTACTGCTACCAAACCAGGTGACAAAAAAGCTGTGTTTCAGTTTCCCAACTTGTTGCAAATCAAAGAAAAAGCCGAACAGATCCAGGAACATACAAAGGACAGGTTTCCCTTTCTGCTAAAACAAAAACAGCAAGGAAAGGCTTCTCTCTATTTCGGAACAGAGTGGCCCAGCAGCAGGAGTAGGGTCCCACTGTACCCACAGGGAAGTCTGGATGAAGCTGTGGTAGCAGCTGAGCAGCAACAGCCATCACAACTGCCCAGGAACAGTGCAGGGGCAGCAGACAGAGGACCCAAGGTTAAGTAGGCAGCCCGAGCCAGTGGCACCCTCTGCAGAAGCCACAGCTACCACTCCTACAAAGAGCAAACGGAGCACTCGACTCACGCTCAGTGGTGCACTATTTACTGATGCTCAGTGGTGCGCTATTTACTGGAGTACCTGGGTTAAGTTCTATGCTAGGCACTATGAAAGCAATAGTAACCAGCATCTGGCCCCTCATGGAGTCTGCAGTTAAGACAGAAAAAGAAACCTTACATTGTGTAGTACCCACCTGACCATAACTACGGCTGTGCTAAGAGCAAGGAAGGAAGAGGGCAGGATGCTACTGAACACTGAGAGTTAACTATGCAGGGAGAGAAGGGAGCTTTCTAGGAAGAAGAAAACAGTACATGCAAAAGTCCTAAAAAATTCACCAACTTAAACTGTACAATTTGATGAGTTCTGATAAATGTATACGACCCTGTAACCACCACCAAAATCATAATATAGAATATTTCCATCACCACAAAATGTTTCCTGTACAGTTAATCCCTGCCCTCTACCCTCGGCCTGCCCTTGGCAACCAATGAACCGCTTAGTTGTGCCTTTTCTAGATCTTCACATAAATGAAATCATACAGGATATAATTTTTGTGTTTGGCTTCTTGCATTTGCCCTAATGCTTTTAAGATTTATCTAAGCTGCATTCTTTTTTATTACTGAGTGGTATTCCATTGTGTGGATCTATCATTTGGACATTTGGATTCTTTCCAGTTTTGGGGTTATTATAAATGATGCTACTATAAATAGTCACACACATTTTTCTTTCATTCATCTTGGGTAAATACGTAGGAGGGGGATCTCTGAGTTCTATGTTTAACTTTATAAGAAATTGCCAAACTGTTTCCCAAAGTGGCAGTACCATTTTTCATTCCTACCAGCAATGTAGGAGAGTTCCACTTGCCCCACATTCTTGTGCTTTTAATTTTACATATACTAGTAGGAGTACAGTGGTATTTCATTGTGGTTTACATTTGCATTTCCTAATAACTAATGATGCTGAACATCTTTCATGGGATTATATGCTACTCATATATCTTTTTTTGGTGAAGTAAATAATTATTTTGCTCATTTAAAAAGTATGACTGTAAAAAAGCAAAACTTTTTACTTTGAAATAATTTTAGACTCACATTGAAGATGCAAAAATAGTATCAGTTTTTACACACACCAATTTTGTGTGTGTATGTATAGTTCTATGTAAATTTATTATATACATATATGAGTGCAATCTCCACCACAATCAGGATACAGAACTGTTTCATCTTACCGGAGAAAAACCTCTCGTGCTATCCCCTTATATAATCACACCCTCCCACCAAGCCTACCCGACAACTATGATCTTTTCCCATCACTATAATTTTTTTCATTTATAAAATGCTATATAAATCAATAGCTCATTCTTTTTCTTGCCAATTATTATTCCATTGTATGAATGTACAGCAGTTTCTTTATCCATTCACATGTTGTTTTGGCTATTACAAATAAAACTATTATGATCCTTTGTGTATAGATTTTTTGTGTGAAAATAAGTTTTCATTTCTTTAGGGTAAATCTCCAGGATGGGATATGATGAAGGCATGTCTAACTTTCTAAGAAGCTGGTAAACTGTTTCGTAGAGTGGCTGTTATCAGTTTGCATTCCCACCAGCACTGTAGGAAAGAGCCAGTTCCTCCTCATCCTTATCAACACCTGTTCAGGCCAGTAACTTTGGCTTGGCCATTCTAGCAGGTGCGCAGTACCTGAGCATGGCTTTAAACTTGTACTCCTCTAATAGCTGATGGTGCTGAACCCATCTTTTCATGTGCTTTTCTGCCATGTGGAGATGCTCTTAGATGATTTGTCTGTTCATGTGTTTTGCCTGTTTTCTGATCCATGTACATGATGTTCATTTCCATTTACTTGGTTCTCCTTTAAGTTCTCTCAGCAATGTTTTACAGTTTCGAATATACAGGCAAAATCTGTTCAACTTCTCTGGATGCAGTGATATTCTGGATGCTATTGTAAATTTTTTTATGTTAATTTATTTTTATTTATATTTTCAATTGTTTATTGCTAGTATACACAGAAGTATAATTTTTTTTTTGTTAAATAACTTTGTACTAAGCTCATTTATTAGTCTCATAGCTTCTTTTGTGGATTCTTTGAGATTCTACTCACACAGCAATTTCATTTCTTCATTTCCAATTTGGATGCCTTTGAATTCCTTTTCTTGCCCCATTGCACTAGCTATAATTTCATACAATCCTGAATAGAAGTGGTAAGAACAAACATCATTCTCTTGTTCATGATCTTAGTGGAAAGGCATTCAGTCTTTCACTACTAAGTATGTTGTAAATTAAAGGATTTTACTAGATGCCCTTCAACAGGTTGAGAATGTCCTCTTCAAGTCCTAGTTTACTGGGAGTTTTTATCATTAACGAGTATTGAATTTTGTCAAGTGATTTTTCTGAGTCTAGTGAGGAGACAGTATAGTTTTGCTTTCTTAGTTCATATGATAAAGTACACTGATCTTCCAATGTTAAACCAACCTTGAATTCCTGTAATGAATCCCACTTGGTCAAAAGTACTATCCTTTTTATATACTATTATTGACTCAGTTGGCTAAAATTTCACTAAAAGTTTTTTCATCTATTTTTATATGAGGGATGTTGGTCTGTCGTTTTCTCTCATGGTGGGGTAATAGTGACTTCATAAAATGAGTTGGGAAGTGTTCCCTCCTCTTTTATTTTCTGAAAGACTTTGTGCAGAACTGATAAAACTTTATTTTGAATGTTTGACAGAACGCCTCTGTGAAGCGTCCTAGGACAAGTTCGTTTGAGGAAAGGTTTCAATCGCAAATTAAAAAGTTTTTTTTTTATATATATGTATAAGGCTCTTCAGGTTAACTATTTCTTCTTAAATTAGCTTTGGTAGTTTGTGTTTTTAAGGAATTTGTTCACTTTATCTAAGGTGTCCAATGTAATGTCTACAGGAACTGCAGTCATGTGTCCTCTTTCATTCCTGTTATTGTAACCTGTGCCATCTTTCTTTTTTTCCTGATCAGTCTAGTCAGAATTTTATCACTGTTATTGAACATTCAGAAAACTGGATTTTAATTTTTGATTTTTTCAACTGTTTTGTAGTTTTCTCTTTCACTGGTTTGTACTCTTGTCTTTATTTCCTTCCTTTTGCTCATCTTGGGACTGCTCTTCTCTTCTAGTTTCTTTCTTTTCTTTTTTTTTTTTTAAGATTGGCAACTGAGCTAACTTAGCTGTTGCCAATCTTCTTTGTTTTTTTTCCCCTTCCTCTTCTTCTCCCCAAAGCTCCCCAGTACATAGTTGTACATTCTAGTTGCACTATGTGGGGACACCACCTCAGCATGGCTTGGTGAGCAGTGCCATGTCAGTGCCATGTTCGTGCCCAGGATCTGAACTGGAGGAAACCTGGGCCGCTAAAGCAGAGTGCATGAACTTAATGACTCAGCCACAGGGCTGGCCCCTCTTGTAGTTTCTTAAAACAGAAGCTTAGGAGTACTGATCTGAGAACTGCTTTTTATAATATAAGCACTTAATAGTGTAATTTACTCTTTAAGTACCACTTAAGTTTCATCCCACAATTTTTTATCATAACCATATTTAATAATAATAAAAGTAAACACTTATATAGAGCTTACTTTCTGCTAAGTCTTGTTTCAAGTGCTTTGTAAACACTCTTTCAATCCTCACAGTAGTC